CCTGCAATTTCTTTCGAGATGCTACACATCTCTTGCGAGAGTTGTGGAGTATGGTGCTTAACCCGTTAATTTCTAGCTTCTTGTATATTTATACATACGATTAGATTGATTCAATACTTACACCTTTATTTTTGTATTTTGACAGCAATGCCCACCGTGCTTACGCCATATACAAAAAAGAACAACAAAAAGAAAGCCGAATAACTATGAGTTAGATGAGACACACTCGCAATCTGAATCTCCTTAATGATGAATATGATATCGGATTAGACCCAAGTTGAAAAAATTTGAAACTATGCTAAAAAGATAATTTTTTGTAAATCAATTCTGCGGCCAAGCATGTAATTATTTGTGACAACTAGACATAGAAAAGTGTATTTGTGTCAGAAATATTACCACAATTGACATTATTTGTGACAACTATACATGTCACTATGAACGTCTTATTTATAGGTGCCTCCTGCTTTTGGCGTAGATGGTGTGCTCGTAATAAAATAAAAATAATACATTACCTCCCAGACAACCCGAGTGCAGTGGGTGGATGGCTACAAGCAAACACATATCAAAATAAAATTAGAAATAAAATAAATTCATTTACCTAGTGTCTCTATACTAAGCCATGTATATAAGTATGTGGAAGATCTTTTTAATTCATGTGGAGGCATGGGAAAATGATCTTTTTAATTCATGTGTATGTGGTAAATGGTGGGTGGTAGAATTTCCACCTCATTTTTGCCTAAGGCCACGTTGGTGTTGACTCATCCATCTTTCTCCACCTCTTATCCAAGTTAAAAGGGTTGGATAAGTTTGATGATTGGTGGTTTGAGTGAGGAATAGTACAGGTAAGGGTTCCATTACCATCCATCAACTAATTGCTCTTAATAATTCGTACACATGGAAAATGGCAGGTGATGATGTGTTAATACATCATTTGGTTGGAGGTAAGCAAATAGAAATCGCCATCCACGTGGGTTTAGCTTTAAGAAACCATTCCATGGATGTAATTTGGTTTGATGGGGTTATTTTGGAGGGGAGAGCACCCAAACCCAATGTTTTAACCAGTAGTAGATACCAACACCATTAACTTACACATATATATATATGATTTTATCATTATTCTCCTTGTGATCACCTAAAAATGGTTTGCGACGGTGTGTGATGTTGGTTGAATATTGGGTCTATCAGTTATATACGAAATTAATTTCATATTTTAATATTGAAATTATGATAAATTTTATTTGTGGTGAATTGAAAAAAGTAATAACCATCCATTCTCTAATTTTTCATTACAAAAATGTGTAAAAAAAGTGTACATAATGGTAGCGGCAAAATGCAACGTAAAAAGAAAATTCAAAATTGTTAAAATTTGGCTTTTACCTTCTTAGAATAGCGCTTTTTTCCGCCAAAAATTTGCGTGTCTTTTGAATTCGTCCCCCAAAAACGTTTCCTTCATTTTGATCCCCCATTCTCATGCTATCTTGCATGTCGTCAATCTGAGAGAGAGAGAGAGAGAGAGAGAGGCGATGGCGGTTCCGCGTTTCTGCCGACGAGTAGAGAGAAAGAGAGAGTTGACGATTCCAATCATTCCATCGACTGGCGACGGCGGTTCCGCGTTGCTGCCAACGAGTAGAGAGAGAGAGAGAGAGAGAGAGAGAGAGAGAGAGAGAGAGTCGACAATTCCATCGATTGGAGACAGCTGGAAGATAAAGAGTTAGTGAAATCTCGCTTTTCCTTCTCATTTTCCTTCCCGGAATTTTTGGTTTTCGTTTTCAGTTCTTTGATTTCCTCTTTGTTTGGCACGAGATGCATACAAAACAAATCTGGATTGGTAAGAGCGGCAGCTATGGTCTCATTCCCTCAGATTAAAAAGGCCCCCTAAGGAACGATTGCAGGTAGTTGCTATGCAAGTTTTCATTTCGTTTCTTTGAGTTCCTATAAAAATCGGGACATGACTGGACACTCCCGAATTACCAAGTCCAAACTTTAGGTTTCTAAACTCGTTTCTTTTATTTCGTTTTGTTTTCATGTTGATTTGAGGCTTGCGAATCGGGGGAGGAGGAGGAACTTGAAGGAACTTCTAGGAGTTAAGGTGCTTCGAGGAGGCCATGAATGGGAGCAACACAAGCAGGGTACTGGGCATCGAAAAGAGGTATCTAAGCCTCGAGTGTTTGTTGACAGATCTGGCCTTTGTTGATAGATGGGTTCTAAACAGAACATAAAAATAATCTAAATAGAACATAAAAGTCATCTAAATAGATCAGAGCTACTTCGTTCAGTTCTCACGGCAGATTTAGTAGGGTAAGCCCTTACTAGACCAAGTATTGTAGCACTCTCCTGTAACCTCCTAAATTGCTGATGTTTTTCCCGGGCAATATCATTTTCATTTCTTGTCCTTATCTTGTCTCGGTCGTCTTTTAGTCCTTGTTAGCACACTGACGATTTAATTGTCTTCTTTGTATGTTCAGTTTCCAATAGGGATAGATTCAGAAAGGGTTATATCAGCGCTTAAGCTCCCAAAGGTGCAGGAGCACATAAAAGAACTGACGGAAAGGTTTCGTGGCCGTAAGGTTTAATCTAAATTTAACCTCCATATGTTGTTTTACTTGCTTAAGAGAAAGCAACCTACTGATTAAAGTCACTGCCTTAGTTTCTTCATTCTTGAATGTAAACGTCCTACTCTTTAATAGGTGATGCTAGGGGTCGATCGTCTCGATATGATTAAGGGAATACCACAGAAGATACTTGCATTTGAGAATTTTCTTGAGGAGAACCCTCTATGGCGTGATAAAGTTGTTCTGCTGCAAATTGCTGTGCCAACAAGAACTGATGTTCCTGAATGTAAGCTTCCTAGTTATCTTGATTCATACAGCAAAAAGAAAACATGCCTTATTCTTGTTTGGAGTATTCATTTGAAGTACTGATAAATTATATTTGTCACATGTGTACAGATCAGAAACTTACAAGTCAGGTTCATGAAATCGTTGGGCGCATTAATGGCCGATTTGGGACACTAACTGCTGTTCCAATACATCACCTGGTTTGTTACTGTCAACTTAACTCATCTTCTTTCCATATGTTTTGTAAGCTGTTAGTGCAAACAATGGAAGCTGTTTCCGGTCTTTCCATGTAATATCGTGATTAGTTCTTTTACGTAAATTTGGTCACCAGACGGCTGGTGATTGTATCCTGAAATAGGCTTCTGTTAATGTAGGATCGGTCCTTGGATTTTCTTGGCCTATGTGCATTATATGCTGTTACTGGTACAATGTTCTTTTGATGTGTAATTTAACTACAACTTTTTCCTAGTTCAATTGAAATTGTCGACCATGTTTCTTGCATGGTTGTTTAAAGTCATAGACGTGGAACTTATGTTACACTTCCCTTTATGTTCCTTTATCTACACAAGTATCCTTAGTAGGATTTCGACTTTGTGTGCTTATGTCATGATCTCTATTCCCGTCTTGCAGACGTGGCGATTGTAACCTCATTGCGAGATGGAATGAATCTCGTTACTTATGAGTTTGTAGCATGCCAATATTCAAAGAGAGGTGTTCTTATTCTCGGCGAGGTACTTAGATATTAGTCAGCCGATTTCAATTCATTCTCATAGAACTCAAATTATATTTTAGAATGCGTTGATTCTCTATGATGAGTTCACGAATTCTATTTTGACCGAAGATCATACTTCAGAAAGTATGTGTTCCTCCTTTGACATGCAATTACTGTATCGATAATCGCATACGTGAGATTCTGACTCTGACCATCTTAAATTGCTGTATTTTTTCCTGGACAGTGAGCTCAATGATGCAGTGGTTGAGGCACAACTAAGGACGAGGCAAGTCCCACCTGGCCTTCCACAGGGAGATGCGATTGAATGTTATCTCAACTCCCACAATCGATTGCTCATACTGGTATGCTTTCAACCCTTAAGCCTTTGTCTTTGTGCCCACAGTTTGTCCATTTCAAAAACATCGCCTCGAGAAAAGGACTAGAATTGTTTCTAAAATACTTACAGAACTGAACATATCCTAGATTGAAGAATGCACCATTTTTCTTTCGTGGGACCGACTTCTCTGGAGTGCATTTTCAAATGCTTACAACCCTCGTGTATTTTTTTTAATGAAAACTACCATCGTGTATTTGAGTTGCATCATTCTAATGCATTTGAGATTATAGTGCCTAATACACTCAAACAAATCAAAAGTGTCAACAAAAAATGATATATTTGTTCAATTCTATTGATAGTATATCTCTTCGTAATGCAGTTGAGGCCTCAAGGAAATCTGAAGTGGACAAATTAAAAAAGCACTTCAGACTGGAGGTAAATTACGCATTTCCAATGTCACTGTTACAATTTTAGGCGGCTATACTGGTTAGACACATGAATGGGTTTCCATATATTTGGCTTCAACATCTGATTCAAAGATCTACCTGTTCTTATGCTGACAGTTCATGGAGGAGCAACCCGTGAGGCATTAGCTAGCCAGGTCTGCTTCACACAAAAAAAAAAGAAAAAAAAACAAAACAAAGAAGAAAAGCCAGGTATGTCCTTTCAATTGCAAACAGTTCATGTCCCGCAATGTACCCTTCGTCCAACAAAAATATGAAGTGTCGATGGAGTTTACTTTTGTGAAATATACCAAGATAAAAGATTTTGTCCCCTAAAATCAATAATGAAATTGTAAACTCAATAAAAAGTGGTCATTGCTTTCCATGGGCGTTTCAACTTCTTGCTATGGAAGTGCTAGTGAACTTCATTTGTTTTTCTTGATGCTTCTGTTCTTTGCACCACGGGTTCTAGTCTGATGTTGTTTCTGTAGCAGACCAAAATAAGAAAAAATAATATTAAAGATGTAACTTCCAACACAAAGAATCATCTAATCTTGCTGGTTAAATCATTAGTGTGATTGGAAAAGTACCAGTTCATGTTCATCGCCTTGACGATCATCATGCCGACTAGTACTCCCAGCACTATGTCCTGTATGCTTCTTAGCTCCCTTCTATGCTCCCTTCTCTTGTTGACTAGTATTGCTCCTAGTACGTGCCCCGATCTGTTAGAGGGAAAATAAACTCTTAAGCTAATAGCCATTTCTAACAAATCGATAATTTAGTGAATAAACAAATGATATATAACCTTCTGTTGTGGGTGACTTTTTCCTATGGGCTCTCCAGTAGTATTATGCTTGCTCGTTCGTTGCTTCTGGTAAAAACAAAATAACATCTGTAGGTTATTAACTCTAATAACTATATCAAGAACACCTAACTAGAGATGCTAATTACCTTTGGGGGCTGACCACCTTGGTCATCATCTCCATCATCGTCGTCTCCATCTTCTCCGTCGTCCCCATCATCGTCCCCATCATCGTCCATGTCATCGTCGTCATCCTCCTCATCAGATTGAGATTCTACCACGTCCGCTGGGGGGTTAGTACAAGTGCTCCTATAATGCCCATCCCTTAGCCCGCAGTTCCCACACTTTCTTCTTTTTTTCTTAAGTTGTTTTTTTCCCTTTTCCTTTCCTACAACCCTTAAACCTCACTTGATTTGGGTTCAATACATCTTTGAACTTGTCTGGTATGACAATCCTTTCTCTCTCGGCGGGGGTTTTCTTTACCATCTCCAACTTGTTACACACTGCTGTCAACTCATCTTGAGCCATTCGATAAGAGAGAGGAGTGTCTGCTCCTAATAAGCAGAATCGTTGAGCCATGAACTGTAGCGACCCGTACCTAATGCTGAAACTGCTGTCATCCCCCAATGTACTTGGTTCTGGTAGAGTGTGTAGGGACTTTGGGTTCTTCAAGCAACGTCTGAGTACCAGTTTTTCAGGAATAGTCTTCACTTTTTCTTCTTTGAGGACAAATAGCATATGAACGCAGGGTATCCCAATACTCTTAAACTTTTGACAAATGCACTCCATATCGCTTGTTTCAATGTTGTATTTCACCTCTATGACCTTCTCTTTGTTGAACATGGTAACAATGTAAGTTTGTAGGTTCCCCTCTTCAGTTTGGTTACCCTTAATGACTCCAATAACCTCCAACTCATTTTTTAACAAAAGAAATGCAGCCTTTGAGAAAAGCTTTGCTGCACTTTGCTCGAGGGGCTTTAGGATTGAATTCTTTATAGGAACTACACCATAATTAGACTCAAAATCTAATCTAATCTCTGTCTCTCTCATGTCTCTGAGCCATCGGTCGTATTGAGTGAAAAAGTCAAGCAAACAGAACCTCTCATTTTCATACCTTGCAACAACCGCATTTATGCTTTCACATCTTGATATGGTTGTCAACCCAGCAAAGAAATGTGAGCGCAAGTATGTGTCCGCCCATTCGTTGCGTCTCCCAAATAGTTTTTTCGACACCCATTGGTTGTTCTGGAGTTCGCATTCCTCTACCAATGCATTCCATTTCTCCTCAAATTCTTCTAGCTCGTACTTAGCAGTTACTAACTTCTTCCACCGGGGTTCAAAGTCGGGTCGATTCTTCACCCTGCCAGTGATATTCTTGGACAAATGCCATGCACATAGCTGAGGTGTTGCATTTGGAAACACATTAGCAATAGCTTTCCTCATTGCTTTATCCCCATCCGTGACAACTGTATGTAGCGGAATGTCCCCCAACATTTCCTTCACTATCTTCAACGCCCAAATATAGGTTTCGTCAGTCTCATTGGGCAACAGTGCACTCCCGAATAAGCAAGTTTTGAAGTGATGGTTGATACCTACAATGTCAAACAGAAACTCGGAAAAATCAGAATCTTTTGAATCAGCAGGACAAAAGCTAAAACTGTGAGGAATATGTAAACAATGGTAGAGTTCATATAATCAGAAACTTGTTGTTTTCTAGATGCCATTATGTGTATTCAAACAACAAAGCAAAGGATAATACTTAGAGGGAATACTAGGATGGCGTACCTGTAAAAATGACCAGTGGCATATTGTAAATGTTTTTTTGGTACGTTGTGTCAAATGCGAGCAACTCTCCAAAACACGAAATGTCGGCTCTGCAAATGCTGTCAGCCCAAAATAAAAAATGGAGCCTTTTTTCCTCATCAGTAGTGTATCGGAGGAGGAAGTGTGGGTCTGTGCTTTTCTTTGATTCTAGATAGGCCAGTGCAGTTGCTGCATCACCCTCGCTGATTCTCTCAGCGTGGTCTTTGGTGCTGAAATTTAATCCATCTTTAACTGTATACCCAAGTTTGTCATGCCCTCCAGCACAATGCACAGCAAGCTTAATGGCCTGAGAAGGTTTCATTCCGGCATCCTTTTTAAATCGGAGGTCTGCCTTGTCTGCTTTTGTTAATCCTCGATGCGACCTCAAGTAATGTACCTGATTCTGCCTAACTGGGTCATGAGTGTGCTGTGAGTTAAATATATCAGCCACCCACTTATTGCTTGTCTTGTTCAAGCTCACACGAAACATAGCCATGCACTAAAATCTGATCTCCATAAGCGACTCCCTCTTTTGTGGACCTTTATGTGCTTCTCGAACTCCCTGACAAGAACACACGAAGGCTGCACTTGTTACCTCTCCCTTGACGTTCTTAACCTTCCTTGAGCGACGGACAGAAAACCCCCAACTCTTAGCATAGTTGTTGTAGAACGCATATGCATCCTCAAAATGATTGAATTCCTGACCGATAAAAGGAGAATTTTGAATAACGTTTGTGTCATCCTCCTGTACAGTAAGACCATCGCTGTCAGAGGTCATTGTTTCTGGTATGATTTCAACATCGCTGTCTTCATTGTTGTTGATATTATCTCCCTCTTCCTCCATTGGTGTGCCGTCTTTTTGCTGTTTGTGGGGAGGGGCTGAATCGGGCGCAAAGCAGAGGTCTTTTTGCTGTTGTTGTTAACCTAATCCGTTTTTCACGTGTTATTAGTTTTTTCTATTTTTCCCCGTCATGGTGTATAGTTTTTTTTTATATTTTAGTACTTTAAATTTTTATTATATTGTTTCCCCGTTATGGTTACTAGTTGGATAAAGAATGCAACTAATAAAGAATGCTTGAATTACCGAAAAAAAATACTAAAGAATGCTTGCGTGTTATATATTGTAGATTCAACTTCCAAATAGGTGATGCGGATTGTTTCATGTTAATTATTACCCTTAAAAATATTATTTTCCTTTTCCATGTAGAGGTTATTGAGGAAGATAAAGTTTCCAGTATCCTTATAGAGAAAAACACTCACCCGTTGGCCCTAGTTTAAGAATGCTAACTCCTTTTCTGCATTCACCAGGAGCTCATTCAGGACAGCAGTACAGGAGCTCGGTCAGGGGGCAGAAACCAGGAGCAATATGCAGAACGATAAGGACGGCAGGATGATGACAAAACGCAAGACCAGAAGTTCTTCCAAATTAATGGTTCGTCAATTTGCATTCTTTTTTTCCCGTTTTCTCCATTGTTGGCAGATTATTCTTCCAAACTAAATAAGGCATTGTGTTTTTATTACGATGAATTCTTTGCTGGAGAAGGATGAATCTCGAGGAAAGAAAGGTAGAACTGAAGATGGTGTGATCCAGATTGATGGTGATTTGCAGGCAGATTGGAATGACTTAGTTTGGAAAGGCCGTACCAGATTTTCTTACTTACAATTCGACAAGAAGGTATGATAATCTAGCCCACCAATTTTCCCCGCTTAGAACAAAATCAATTGTTTTTATCCTTATGTTTCGTCTTCTATTGTAGGGTGAAACAAAGTTTACACTTCCAACACTTCTCAAGTACACTAGAGAGGAAGTGAACCTTGCCCACTACATATTTGCGAAGGATCTTCCACAAAAGGAAGTCTTCGTTGAAACCATGATGCAATCCTATACACGAAAGGTGTTGTGGTCCCTCTGCCGTAAGTCTAATGTCGATGATGATGTAATTACAACCATGGCTTGCCAATTGAGCCTGGAGGAAGTTTGGAGGGATGTTGGAGATGGAAGAGTAGTCTGTTATCTGCCTGCTGAACTACAAGTATAGTCCCATTTACTTTGCATATTTATTTTAGGTGCAATATTCTGTTTCTCCTATTAAATGTGTTATCTTGTATTTTAAATGAACCATGATCAGGAAATGGTAATTAACTATGGCATGACATCAAAAAAGCTCTAGAGTGTTACGGTGCAAAGTTCTTGGCAAGAGCTCACACGTGCAGAAAGGTTTCTTCTTAACAATTCCTTTCTTGTTTCATTGAAATATTCCTCAATTACTGTTTCTAGCTACTGTTTGAATTGGATATGCGAATAAATTAGATTTTCCATCAAGCTTTTGATATTTCTATAAATTGTATTTTACAATGCTCAGCTGAGTTTGGTCTTTTTCGTCGTTATTTAGGTGTGTCTGCCCATGAAAGATGCAATGGACGGTGATGCAGTTCACTGATATTTAGCTGTCATTATGCTGGACGACAAACAAGTCCATCTATTGGATTCGTATCCTTCTAAAAAGCGCCAAAGATCTCGTAGAAACGCAGTAGTAACTATGGTATGGTTTGACCTCCTGATCCTAATACAGTTATATCTCTAAATTGATTTGTGTATTCATCTATCCCGAATAAAGTGATTACTGCTTATGTAGATCGAATTTCTTGATGACTTGTTTGAGGATCTTTATCGGCAAGTGGAACCAACACTTGATCCACCTGTGCTGGAACAATTTTCTTTGACAATTCCTTCAACTCCCGAACAACGTCACGAGTAAGAATTGTTCGTTGTGAACAAATTAGAAACATACTTAGATATCCACCACTCATATGCTGCATCTTATTTTATGTAGGTCTGATAGTGGCGTTTGGGTGTGCTCATGGATGATGGGTGCATCTTGGGATGCTTCTTATAATATATGGGTAAGCAAGAATTCTCCTACTTGGCCTTGAAGGAAAACAACCTTTTGAAACAGCTACTAAGCCTCATTGTCATTGTCAAATTGTTGCAGCCATGCGGAGATATAAGGAGAATGCAACTAGCTTTGTATCTGGTCCAACACCCTACAAATTACATAAGACATGTCGTCATCGAGGAAGCAAATAGTAATGCATCGAGATTTGTTGCCCAGACTCGTAGGTACAAGGAGGAAAGCCAAAAGAGCGTAATCCATAACTAGAAGATTCATAGGGAGATGGTGGTTCATTTCTCCTGCAGTAGTATATTCTGGATATTTGGTTGATTAGTTCTCCTGCCAGTACTCTAGTTTTGTTTCCCTTTTCATTTTCGTTGAGAACCAAAACAATACCCTTGAATTGTTTGAATTGTCTGCTTGTCTCTTTCCCTTTTCATGTTCGTTGAGAACCAAAACAATACACTTGTTATTAGGTTAAAATTTTGTTATTGAAGCTATTTGTTGGATCCAACATGGTAATGTTTGCTCCGATGAACGCATAATCTCTGGCTTCCTCCGGTGGCAAGATATGAGATATCCAAAGTCCAAAGCCAAGAATTGGTGAGTTTTTTGGGCCGAAATAAAGATAACAAAAAACCCCACTGACCAGGAGAATGGTCAATAGTTTCTTGACGCGGAAACTAGTTCAGGTTTTATGAGTTTATCCGGTGTGGACTTAAGAGGGAAGAAAGTTCCAAGATGATGGTCGAGAAGGAAGTAAAGGAAAAAAAATTTGGTTGATGTGATTCGAACCCAAAACCTCATTTAACTACAGTAGCAATTTTCCGCTGGGAATGGGGAAGAAGCGCGCGACTAAATTTCCAGGAAACTAGATTTTGTTGTTTTGCAGTAGAAATGAACCACGTTTTCTTACTCATATTTCTTATTTTTTGTTGTGACAACAAAAAACATAAAATGAAATGGCAAGTGAATGGGGCATAAGGCTCAAGCCTAGGCGCCTTCTTTAAGCCTTATCTCAGCTGAACAAGCATCAGGAACAAAGCCACAAAAACGTGAACCAACATTCGGATTTAAGAAAAAATAAAGGTAAACACCAAAACCAATCTAAAATGAATTCAGTTGGGATCAAAGTGATAGTAAAACCGACCGACTACCAATAAAAGTATAAAACCGACCGACTACCAATAAAACAAAAACAACTACTTTTCTAAAATGAATCAAATAAACTCTTTTGGCATTTTGAGTTGATTTTCCCCTTGAAATGTCTTTCATAAACGGCCCTTGCTTCATCAATAATTTGAGAGCGCCTTGTATTGAGAGATCTTTGACTAAACTTATGGCCAAGGATAGTCAACCTCTATTACTACAAACCTGCAGCAAATGTATAACATTACGCTTAACATGTTGATTTCGATTTGATAGTGTAGAATCTCACGTGGATGGAATCATATTTAGAAGGAAAGGATTGTATTATACCGCCGTATACGAATTATTATCAGCCTCTCCGTGCAACATCCACTGACAGACGTAAAACCCGCACTCATAGCTACGTAGAAAAATAGCATTTATTATCGAAAATAAGATTGTGAATCGAAATGAAATAATCAAAATACTCAAAGAAATACTAACTCATCAATTTGCTTAGAAACGTATGGAGGACTTATGATTTGGAACTTATGCACTTTAGGCACTTCATAGGTTGATGGCTTGTCTGGAAATTCTTGAAGTATCTTGTAAAAGAATTTCAACTGTAACAACAAACTTAACCACATAACTATTACAGTACAAAAATTAAAAAAAAGAAAATTGACTTACTAAATTTACACGAAGGGAATAGTTTGATCACGCACCATTCCTTGCACCCTTTTCCTACGATTTTCCAGCAAACCCAAATCAATAGGCAAAGAGTCCACTACATGCACTACCTTTCGGTCCATGAAAACCACAATAAGAAACCAATGGCGGTTCTCATCATTCATTGGCAAATATATCTGAAATAAATAAACCAGTAAATGATGACGAAAGAATGAATGGACTATACAGTAAAGGGCAAAACATTAAGAGAATATAGTACCCTGGAAAAATTACTAATATTATTACACCATAC